CCGAAAGTTGTAGCACTCTTTCCAGGCTCTTCATGTCTCTTGAATTAGTTTTTGGTAATTTTCTTGTGACCACACCGATGTTTGAGGTGGCATGTATACCGTGGTTATTATTATGTTTACCCCGTTTGTTTCTACCTCAATTACCTTCATTTCCACTATGGGATCCTGATTAATTTCTAGCTCCTCTGTAATAATTCCTTTCCTTGTTAATATTGTTACCCCCCCCCCTCCATTTCTATCTGCCCTATTTTTTCTCCAATTATTATAGCCTTTCAGTCCTAATATTACATCGTCTATAGATGGATCCAGTTTGGTTTCAGTGATGCATATTACATCTGGTTTATTCATATCAATTATTGTCTCTAGTTCAAGTAACTTCGAAGATAAACCATCAATATTTGTATACACTATTTCTATATAATCTTTCGTTATTAATTTTGGTTGCAGGGTTAATGTTTGTCTGTCTCTACATTTTGGCTCTTGTAGTATATTTGCTTTGCTTGGAGACCTCTCACCCTCCAAATAAACAAGTTTTTTTTCCTCTTCAGTCCTTTGTTAATTTGTGTTTTTTTTACTTCTTCCAATTTCTTTTGCAGTGTTACTCTGTCTTCGTTGGTCATATTTTCTTATCTTTTTTTTTTTTTTTATATTAGGCTTTCTTAGTTGCCATTTGCTTATTCATGATTGTTACTTTTAAAGGGCGTTTCTTTCCCTTTTCGAATAATCCCAGCCTCCTGTGAGCTATGATATTCTGCTCGGCGAATTCGGGATTTATAACCTTGGGAATGTCTACACTTAATTTCTTGTCTTCGTTGCGTCGTTCAATTTCATCTTCTACAACTTTTACATGTCCGAATATGACTATGTACTTGTTTACGTCAGCCAAATTAGCAATATTTCTTGCATGTTGCCCAAGGTGGGATTTGAATTCGTTCTCCTTTATCGTTTTTGCAAGCTGTGTCTTAATTTCTTCCTTTGTGGTCTTGATGTCTTTTTTTTCCATTTCATTTACGGTTTCCTTTACCTTTGATACATCAGCATATGTAGCTGTCATCTTTTTAGCTTCTTCCATTACTTGCGCTTGGCTGCTTGGCAAATTACTTTCGATCTGTTTGACAGTTTCTTGCACTTTAAGAACCTCCTCGACTTTTTTCTGTAGATTTTTTGCTTCGGTTTCACTACCGTTGCCAATTTTGGTTTCAACTTCTAACTTTTCCTTTAGTTCTTTAATTTTCAGGTCAGATTTTTGCATATTTTCCATATGTGTTTCTACACACGTTTTCTACCACTTCCTTCAGATTCACATTCTCTTCACGTATTTTGAGGCATTCTGCCACCAGGTTGCCAACCTTGGCTTCAAGAGCCTCAAGTCTGACTGCTGCTTCTGCTAACCTCATTTTTCTCGTCTGATCTCAAGTGTTCCTCATTAAATAAACAAAAAAACAGAGCTGTACGCACGTTAGTTGTCTCTAGGCGCAGGATTCGCATGGTGTGTGTGTGTGCAAATACATACATACATACACACACACACACACACACACACACACACACACATATATATATATATATATATATATATATATATACATCTATCCATCTATCTATCTATATATGCACACACACACACACACACACACACATGTATATGAATGCATGTGTGTGCGGGGGGGGGGGTGAGGGCGTGCGTGTACATGTGATATGTAACATACTGTAAAGTAAATAGAGAGAAAAAGAAAGGAATAGAGAAAGAAAGAAAGGAAAAAAGAACGAAATAAATAAAGAAAAAAGAAAGAAAGAAAAAGTAGGTTTGTATGTGTGTATGGCAAGGGTCACTGATAAGAATATCTATATGCAGTACATACTTCAACTTATCAGTTAAGTATATGAAGCAACAAACAGAAATTTAATTAAAAGCTTCAAAACACTTCAAAACAATATATGTATACACACAAACAAAAAGGTTTGTTTTACATAGTAATTCTTTACACAAGTATTTAATTTATTTTAGAAGCCACACATAGAGTAGCAAAAGTAGTTTTTGATGGCAATAGTACAAATACTAATATTAATAGCACTAGTAATAAGCAGAAAAAACAATAAAGATGATGGCTGGTAATAATACTGATACTGATAATGATGATGATGATGATGATGATGATGATGATGATGATGATGACGACGACGACGATGATTTATGTAATTACCCAACATAGGCCTATTCAAATCAATATCTGACACTCTTCCAAACAAGATTTTGTACTGATTGTTTACCTTTATGATAAGAAAACACAAATTAAGTAAACACCCTTGCAAATAGTATTTATTGATATTACTACACAACGTAAAAGGAAAGAAATAGTAGTATAGATACACACGTAGTTTTGCTACTCAGTATTTCATATGAATGAAAGAATACATTCAAGATCACCAAGATGCTACAAAAGTATCTACATAAGAATTATTTTAATGATAAAGTTGCCTTTCGATATTCAACTTCAATAAATCTATCCTGGTTTCAGAAGTAATGTAATAACAAATGTTAGTCTGAAAATTGGTTATCTACTGAAATATACTTGTTATATAAAATGTTTGTAAATCAATCAGTAAATGAGATCAAAGTAATGGCATAAATTTAATTGAAGCTAGTAACTGTTCAACAATAGGAGAATGACTAGTCTACCTTCAGAATACTGATAACAAAATGGATTAATTCTCTGTGTTGTATATGAAATCATTTTGTTTTCAAGAATGAATATCATTATTCAACATAAATATTGGCTCTTGATGTCCATCGAATCCAGCCTTTAGAGAGATCTCGCCAAAAATTAGATTTTCATTCTAACTGAAAAGAATGACATTCAAATTTGAATATAAAGAGATGAGCACGAGACCTATAGGAGAGAGGAAAAATGTATCTTCTTCTTCTTCTTCTTCCTTCATTTCTAGAGCTGAGAGCTTGAGACTGTAAAGAAAATACTTTATCGCTTTGAGTGTTGTCACTGATTTGTTTACATGGAGTGTCCGTTTCCGATGTAGAGTTAAAAGTTTACTTCTTTCATTATGTCTTACCATTATGGTTTGATGATAAAGTTTAATATACTTAAGGTGGCCCATTAAATACAAGATGCTGAAATTATCATGAACTTATATTATCAAAGTAAATTATAAAAAAAATCTTCATAATTTCTTTCAAGAAACTCCAACGCTTTGCGACGGTTGTAGGGGCCTTATATATTTTTTCTTTGTTTTGTTTTTCTGCATCGCATATGCATTTTATCCTTCCTTATTCAGAAGTAGGTAAACCTACTTTAAAATATGATTAATATTATCAAGTTGGCAAACCTACTGTAGAATATAACTATAAAAAAAAAAAAAACTCGTAATAAAGTATGAAAACTCGGGATGAAATATAAATGAAAATATCATTAACCCTCCAGCAAAGTTCATATTTACCTAAATATGCATTCAGCGTATATATCATGACATCAGAATGTTTAATGACAATTTGATAAACTATGATACAGATATCCTATAAAAAAGTAAAAGGACATCCTTATAACTAAAAGAAAGATAATACCTAAAAGAACTCTTACAAGAACGCCAACAAAACACCCGCAATACGCGCCAAAATTTCTTCTTCGGGGACTACAAAATCACGAAAAAATCACTATTTCCTTCTCCTTTCTTTAGTTAACTGTGCAGAAATTACAACAGAAGTGTGAAAATAAACACACAAGGTAAATTAGTGAGTGATATATATGGTGTTTGTATTACTTATGTATTATTCCCAATTGTTTTCATCATTTGGTTTTGTGTTTAACGACGATACTGTTTCGTATCATAATATTTTTGGTATTAGAAACTCATCATTAATATTTTATGTGTGGAAAATAATTATATTTGAGAAATGGCTAAGCTTATGTGCTATTTCATTTATGTGTATGATGAATATAAATAGATCTAATTATAATTGGACTATGCAGAGATAATAATCAGAGACTTAAAAAAATATTTTTTGTAGTGTAAATGTAAGCTCACTACTTCATATTAAAGTCTGTGGAATTATAGCCTTTCAATATCTCTGCGAAATTATCATCTAATTTAGATATTTATTTTCAATGATTTATAGGTGAAGAAACCAAGCCAGAAGTAGATCAATCAAGAAATAAACGATGGAGATGGACATAGAGGAGATGTTTGGCATCCGTCCAGCTGAGAGCGAAAGGGGCTCGGCATCGGAAGCTGAGGAGGATGAGGATGACGACACAGGAGAAAACAACCCAATGGATGAAGCTATCGAAGTGCCGGAACCAGGTACTGAGTGGTGTAGTTTGTGTCACTTTTAGCTGCCGTGTTTTATGGTTTGGTCGTTTGCATTGTTATTAGTACTAGATCCAGGTCTTTTCCTGATAGATTCAGGATTGAGTAAAAATATATGTGTTTAGGAGTATTTAGATACAATACATAGGCAATGATATGATATAAACCTTGAAAGAAAATCTATCTGTCTGTATATCTATCTAAATTTATATCTGTGTATGCATATTTATGTACAAATTAGCTGCAATAAGTCATGCTCAGTGTGATTAGGTGCCCAAATACTGCTCTGGTGTTTGGGAAGTGAGCCTTTCTGTTATTTTAATGATTGGGACCCCATCAATTCCTAACACAAATAGGGAGGTGATATAGAGTAGCTACCTATAGGTTAAGGCTATGTATCATTTGATGTGTGCCCTCCTTATGTATTATATTATAATGGTTGTATGCTTAAAGAAATTGTGTAACACAAATCATTGTAGGAAGACTTAAACGTAATTTTACGACAGTCATTTTCAAAACTGCAGTATTCATATCCTCTTGCATTATCTTGGTATAACAGTTGATTTTTTGTGGTATTATTCCTTATTAGAGGTTTTGTGCTTCAAAGCACATGGCCATAAGTCTCGCATACCGGAAAAAGGATCCAGAAAGTTATTCTTATTATATATCTGCTTTTGTATTAGGTTTTTGTTAGAAATTAATTTTTTATGTTAGATGATTACTAGGTGTATGCCTCAACATATCTCACAAAGCTGCTTATTTACCAGTGTGTTAATATAACATTAAACTTTCAGGTCAACAGGCGAAAGCAGAACCCGTCAAACCAAAGAGAGTTGTAAAAAACCCACAACCGAAACTGGATGTGCATCGGTATGTGGTCACTTGTGTGCATTATGTTCATATTAGGTTGAATTTGGTTATATAATTACAATTTGTTATATTTAAAGAGAGTAACAGCTTGTATTATTGGAAAATAACATACTGTAGTTTAACTATTTAATGATATTTTTTTAGCTATAAGAGATAGACAATAGACCTGGGCAGATTGACTAGCTAGCTGGCTGGCTTTCTGGCTGGTTGACGTTCTGGCTGGCTAACTGACTTGACTGACTGACTGCCTGACTGACTGACTGACTGACTGACTGGCTGACTGGCTGACTGACTGACTGACTGATATGCAAAAATGGACTGACAAAGATAGCACTTATAAAATGCTGTGAATGCTGTTTGCGCATCGCAAAGTGTATGTCTTTTTTTTGGCGGGAAAAAGAGGTGCAAGGAGGGGGAATCAAAGAGAGAAGGATGGAGATGAATGGAGATGGAAGCATGCATGGATGTTGTGCTGAGGAGACTGTACATTTCGGGGCACGTGAAGAGTGTCACACCCTAGCTAACCTCATGCCACCTTCCTGGTGCCATACTGCATCGATGAATGTTGTGTTTTAGTTATCAACAGCAGAAAGACATTGTAAGAGTTAGCGATCAGCACTGCCTTTGACTCTTGTAGTGGCGCCGTGATGTATAGAGTGGAATAAAGGGAAAATAGTGAAGTACCATCTTTTTGTCACCCATGCCACACTGTTGTAAGGAGGAATTTGCAATAGTTAGTGTCAGGAGTGGGATCCACATTTGTTATTGAAGAATAATAGTGATCTTGTGCATGAATTGGAGGCGGAGGTAATGAGAAATGGCAGACCAGGGCGAAGGTGAGCAGTTTTCACTTGCAGACATCATAGCTGCTATTCAGAAGGTAGGAGAAGAAAGGAAAGCAGTGAGAGAAAAATTAGAACTGTGAAAGAAGAAAGTGCAGTGGTAAGGGAAGAAGTTCGTGGGCAGATAGAGGCCACAACTTGCAAAGTGTTAGATGAAATGAATGTGTTGAGGAAGGAGTACAGTGAGCAAACGGCCCAGATAATTGCAAGCCAGATGCGCATCATGAAGAAGCAGATGAAGGAGATTTGCCAAGAAGTGTGTAAGATCCATGAGGAAGTGAGTTTCAGAAAGACCAAAAACACTGGATAGATGACACTCAGTGTAGACTTACAGGTGTGGAGCAGAGCATGCAGTATGTAGAAGGGAGTTGGTTTAACCTGAAAGAAGAAGTGAAGCAAGAAATTCGCACACTCCAAGCAGCAGGACAAGAGATGAAAGAAGAAATTAAGGAAGCTAAAGAAGAAATGAAGGAAGAGACATGTAGGGAGCGGGAAAAGATAAAAAATATCGGCTATGAGAAAAGTCAACATTGAGTGAGGCAAAAATTGAAGCCAGAGCGACGACGCTGGATTGGATGCTTGTGCAGCCAGACAGCCATGTGGGCTCCCACCACCTTCCCCACGGTCAGCCATTAACAAGACAAGAAGGAACCTGCAAGATTTTGATGGTCGAGTACCGCTGGGACCCTATCTAGCACAGTTTGAGGTATTGGCAGTGGCACAAGACTGGAATGAGCAGGAAATGGCAGTGCAGTTGGTAACAAGTCTCAAGGGGCAAGCTATAGAGATTCTGGGACATCAACACCATCGCAGTGGGCATCATACTCTACTGTCAAGGCAGCATTGGAGCACAGGTATGGACACCAGCACCAAGCTGAAACATTCTGGGCCAGGTTTAGGGCCAGAGTGAGGAAACTAGGAGAAATCCTTCAGCAGCTGGCATAGGAATTAGAGTCACTTGTGTGTTGTGCTTACCCTGGGGCGAATTAAGATATGGTCTTTGTTCTGCTGAGGGACCAATTTGTAGATGCTTTGCAGGATCAACCACTGCAAGTTTATGTAAAGCAGGCCCCTACCACAGACTTATGGGAGGCGTTGGCACGTGCACTAGAGTACGAGTCATTTAGGATGAGCAGCAACAGTGGTGGAGTGCAGGTGTACCTAGGAGTCCAGTAAGCTTTCAGAGCCAGGCGTGCACAGGTGAGGAAACATTCGAGCAGTTGCAGGATGAGATTAAGAGTGTTGAAGATGTGGTCAAAAAAGTCACTGGAAGCAATACTGTACCAATGCCAAAATGCAATGAAGCGAGAATGTGGCTACAGAGTACCATTGCCAGCCTTGCTGCTGGAGTTGCGGTGAACAGGGCCATCTATCACAGAAGTGCCCGAAGTAATATGCGGGAAATGATGGGAGGCTGGAGGAAGGGGCAAGCCAGCTGATGAGTGTTAGGCCCCCGTCCATTTAATTTGTTGCAGAGCTCAGCCAACAGCAGCTAAAGCACAGGTCGAGAATACAGTTAATGGCAAGCCATGTTGTTTTACAATAGATACCGGTGCAGACAGGACCGTCATCAACATAGCTACTGCAAAGCAAGGCCTTTGTCATGCATCATATTGGATTTGTGGAGTCACAGGGCACTATGCGCAACTAAGGGGACCCATGGAGGTGGTGATAGGGGTTAGTGGCACCGAGCACCGTCTGCTGGTGTATGTAACAGACGTAGAAGTCCCCTGCCTCCTTGATCTGGCTATCTGGCTCAGTGTGAGGCACTGGTGGATTTTAAGAGGAAGTCTTTGCAGGTGGGTGATGTCACAGTACCTTTTGTAAACAACAACGGTGGAGAGTCAGTATGAGGTATGGACTGATGTACCTCCTCATTTGGAAAATTAGCTGCAGAGGAGTGTTCAAAACCTTACAAGGGAGCTACATTTACTGCTTGACTTGGTGACTGGGAGGCCACCAAATTAGGAATTACCTATAGAGACTAGTGACTATGCCGTCGAATTTCTACAACTTGAGGAAGTGCACCGCCAAGTGAGAGGACACCTGAAGTTTGCAGGAGAGAGCATGTGAAGCTGTTATAACAGGGATGCCCATGCAGCCAAGTTCAAGATGGGAGATTTAGTGTGGCTGTACAACCCCAAGAAGAAGAAGAAGGGTATGTCACCCAAGCTACAGAGCCCTTGGGAGGGGCCCTACACCATCATTGAGTGTGTGACTGAGATCCTTCTGAATTCGCCAACGAGCAGGAGCAAGAGCAGGAGTGGTGCACGGAGACAGGGTATGGGAGTATCATCGAGATGGCCACTACACCTAGGGCACCAGGAGGAAGGGAGTTGAAGACCCACGCCAGGTTGTAGCTGCGGTTCCTGAGGAGGTGGATGATCCTGGTCCGCTGGATACACACACCAAGGAGAATGGACAACCAAGGTCAAAGGTGGAGGACGATGCCAGGGACAGTCTGGAGAGCACGAGACGGATGAGATGCAGCAGCCGACTTCGAGACCCTATAGAAAACAGAGATTACCGTGGCATCTTAGTGTTTGTTTTATAAAAGTGATTAGTATAAGATGTAGTTTTGTACTTCTGAAGGTTAATAGATATTGCTTATTTTAAGAGCATATTTTTTATGTTCAGGGCCAGAAATGCCTTTTACAGTTTGAAAGTGAATGAGGACGTCCACTTGGAGGGAAGGGGGCAGTTCTGTGAATGCTCTTTGCGCACCGCTATGTGCATATGTTTTTTTAGCGGGAAAAAGAGGTGCGAAGGATGGGGAATCGAGGGGAGACGGATGGAGACAGACGCATACACGGATGTTGTGCTGAAGAGACATGAAGAGTGTCACACCCTAGCTAGCCTCATGCCACCTTCCTAGTGCCGTACTGCATCGTTGAGTGTTGTGTTTTAGTTATCAACATCAGAAAGACGGACATTGTAAGTGTTAGTGACCAGCATTGCCTTTGACTCTCGTAGTGGTGCTGTGATGTATAGAGTGGAATGAAGGGAAAAGTAAAGTGCTATCTTTTTCTCACCCATGCCACCCTCTTGCAAGGAGGATTTGCAACAATATAGACAGACTGACACAGATAGTAAACAGAAAGACTAATGAATAGGCAGCCTTCAAAGTAGACAGACAGATGTGTGTATAAAGAGACTGACACATAGAGAGACAGACATCTGTATAGACAAACTGACTGAGAGTCTGGTAAGTGAACAAACTTAGAATGTCAAGTAGATTCACAGACCAATAGATAGACAGATTGACTAATATCAAGAAAACAGACAGAGAGACAACCTAATAATTAGACGGACAGGTAGACAAATAGAAAGAGTAATTGACAGCTAAGTAGAATGGCTGATTGATTACCAGGTAAACAAATTAACAGACTGATAAGTAGGCAAACTGGCAGACTGGCAATTAGACAGATAAATAAACTGCTGAGTAGATAGATACCAGATTGACAGACCAATGATTTGTAAATAATAAGTAAATGTATCCTACATCCTTCTAATTTTTTACAGGAATGTGTGCAATGGCATGGGGGAAATATTGTTGTCAATGTATTAGATCATATCCCAACCTTAAAGGAAGATAAAATTCCTTACATCTGCTTAAAACAGCCAGCCGACTCTGACTCTAAAACTTTCTTTCCAGCCTGGGAGGTCCTCGTGGTATCCCAGTCCTCCAGAAGTCCTTCAAGGACGTGAAGTGGAAGGGCAAGGGGCATGAGAAGGAGGATTTGGATGTCCTCCTCAAACGACTGGAACACTGGGCTCATCGCCTCTTCCCCAAATTGCCCTTTAATGATGTCTTGGAACAGATTGAGAAGCAGGGCTTCAAGAAGCCAGTTCAGGTAGGGTATTTTTTTCTTTTTCTCTGTCTTCTTCCACTTCCTCATTCTCTTCCTCCACCTAATCCTCTTCCTGTTCCAAGAAGCCAGTTCAGGTAAGATATTTCATATTTTTTTCCTTTCTTCTTCCTTCTTCTCCTCTCCTCTCTCCCCCTCTCTTCTTCTTCCTCTACCTAACCTCTCTACCTCCCTCTCTTCCTCTCCCTCTCTCTTCCTCTCCTCCTCTCTCCTCTCCCTCCTCTCTCCTCTCTCCTCTCCCTCCTCTCTCTTCTCTCCTCTCCCTCCTTCCTCTCCCCCTCCTCTCTTCTCTCTCCCTCTCTCTCTCCCCTCTCCTCCTCTCTCCTCTTCCTCTCCTCTCCTTCTCTTCCTCTCCCTCCTCTCTTCCTCTCCCTCCCTCTCTTCCTCTCCCTCCTCTCTCTCTTCCTCCTCTCTCATCTCCCTCCTTCACTCTTCTCTCTTCTCTCTTCTCCCCTGCCTACTCTCACTCTCTCTTCTCTTCCTTGACTCTTCTCTCCTCTTTCCTTTCCCTCTTCTCTCTTTCCTCTTCCTTGCCCTCTCTGTCTCTTTCCTCTTCCTTGCCTCTCTGTCTCTTCCTCTTCCTTGCCCTCTCTTTCTCTCTTTCCTCTCTTCCTTGCCCTCTCTCTTTCTCTTCTCTTCCTCCTTCTTTTGCCCTCTCTCTCTCTCTTTCTCTTCCTCTTCCTTGCCCCCTCTGTCTCTTCCTCTTCCTTGCCCTCTCTGTCTCTTCCTCTTCCTTGCCCTCTCTGTCTCTTCCTCTTCCTTGCCCTCTCTGTCTTCTTCTCTTCTTGCCTCTCTCTCTCTTCTTCTCTCTCTCTTCTCTTGCTTCTCTCTCTCTCTCTTCCTCTTCCTTGCAGCTCTCTCTCTTCCTCTTCCTTGCCTCTCTCTCTTCTCTTCCTTGCCCTCTCTGTCTCTTTCTTCCTTCTCTCTTCTTCTTCCTTCTTCTTCTTCTTTTCTTCTTTTTTCTTTTTCTTTTTTTTTGTTTCTGTTTGATCACTGATTTTGAATATCAGTTATTAATAACAAATTCTCTTCTACTTTGAGCCTTTATTCATTGGCAGTATTTTCTGCCATTTTGTATCTTCTCAAAAAAAAAATTGTGGTCCATTAACTCTCAGATATGGAAAGAGTGACAAGTTTCATAGGACAACCTAATAGCTTACGAGAAATCATTGTAGAGTTTATGTGTCATGGAAATTTTGAACAAACAGGTAATTGCATGTAAAGAAGATATCACTAAAAAGTCTACACTTATAATAGATAATTGTAATGATTAGGAAGAGGATGGAGAAAGAAAAATTTGATCAAGACTATAAACAGTTTCAGCTAACATCTTGATAAAAATGCTTATAAGATTATCAAAAAAGGAAAGAAAAGGACTAGTAGAAAGAGTTTCTCTACTTTCTTTCTTTTTCTCATTTAGATATTCACAAACATTAGATTTGGATGCTTTACTACCATCACATGGCTCAAAGTATGGGCATTAAGCTCCCTGGGCAGGTGACTTTTAGGCCAGGTGCACACAAACACTTGTATGTGATGAAAATACTCTATACCTCCCCTTTGCAATGTTATTTTCTGTTTTTCTGCATAACTGTTCTTAGCTTGTTTGTCATTTTCCAATATCCATATTTATCATATGATTTGCTTTATCCAGATGGTAATAGACTATTTTTGTTCCACAGATTCCATATCATCCATAAGTACCATTTTCTTATTTGTGTCATTTTTATTATTGTCTTGTAATATTCAGTTTTCTGTTATACAACCTGTACCACCAATTTTAGCAGCCAGGAATAGGATTAGGGAAATATCATCCTCCCAGAAGCTGGTGCTCTTCCAGTCATAGCTCGTGGACAGTTCATTGCACACTCATTTGTCAATGGAAATATTGGAAAAGCCCCTTCCTAAATGCCAAATGAGTCTAATCAACCCCTCAAGAGGTTTGTGCACTTGCGGCAAGTCTTTCCCATCATCCCAGCCTTCAGCCGAGACAGTCATGATAGCAAGTTTGTATCCCCCAGCCCACAGGCAAATTTTCTCATGACAGCATGTTCACATGACCAGATGGTCTTGTTATCCTGATATTAAGGGTTGAATAAAGAATAGTAATTAGTCCTCTTCCTTTCCAGGTCCTCATCAAGAAGCTGAGACTGGATATGTTCACCGAAAGTGAATTAAATGGTGCTAACCCTGATGAGGACAATGTGCGGAGAGGGATTCATGATGAGGAACCTGTGATCGAAGAGCCCCCTGTTGACATTTTTGATGAGCTCTTGGGTCAGAATGGATTTCCAGCATCTCAGCCAACTACTGCACCTGCTTTCACCTCTCTTCCTTCAGCACCAGCAGAGAGTTCTTCTGTAAGTATTCATGGGAGTTATTGTTATGGTATGATGTGAATTGTTCTATTCTTTATTTTCTCTTCAAGAAGACTCATAAAAGCAAATGTTTTTTCTTTTTTCATGGTAATGTTATTTGTGACATAAAGCCTTTGAATACAAAAGGAATTTCTTAATTGTTTATCATTATTAGAATAAAGATTTTCTTTTTATTAAATGATTGGATATTCATAGTCAAAAATAAAATAACTACTGTTTTTTCCATTGTTTTTGTACATTATGGGATGCAAAGTAAGTGGTTTTATGATAGGTTACTTGTTACAGTTTTCATGACATCAATAGTATCACTTTAAACTCTTCTAACCTTTATTTTGAGGATAAAATTCCCTTTAGAGGTCACCTAGATCTTAGAAAATGTGCTAAAGACGTGCTAAAGTAGATTTAATATGCAAGGATGAATAACTGAATAACTTACATCCCTCCCCCTATACCTCTCCTCCCTCTTGCTGTTTGTTGGTTTATTAGATTATAGATAATATTCATGAATAAGACTTATGAGAACCCTACAATTACCATTGCATTCAGTGTTTGTCTTTCATGACCCTGAGTGCTTCTGCATCTAGCACGCTTTTATTCTTTGTTTTTATAGTATTTACTAGTATATGCTTCATTCTTTAATTTGTGTTTATTAAACTCAATTTTTTCTTTCTTTTACTTTGTTGAAGGATAGTCATAGAAAATCCTTTTGTGCTGTTGAAGTAATAAATAAAGGAAATATAAAAAAAATTAAATTGCATGATTTTGTTTCATATAGAAATATGTAGATGTATAGACAATGGAATAATATGAAATAACTCTATGACTGGAAGGTAGGGCTAGAAATAATTTTGAATCTCTAGTAAAATGATAATGTTTAGTACAAATATGTTATAAAGGGGTAACTAATAATGCTTACATATATGTGCAGACCCTGTGTAATGAGAAACAAAAGTGGACAAAGAACTGACTAGCTGCATCCAAATGAAAACATTGAGCATTGTTTATTGAAATTGACTTATTAGTAATTCATTCATGTATTATTGATGACTTTACTATCTGTTTTTACATATTTCAAGTATTTGAGTCATATGATCCATAATATATCTTGATATATAGATATATAGACTTTTGAAAAGTGAATGATTACACACAAAACCTCATTCAACAGACACTAACAGAGGAGCAGAGAGAGCGTGTTGAGCGTAACAGGCGCTTGGCAGCTGAGAGACGAGCGGCCAAGCTGAGGCAGCAACAAGAAGAAGAGGAAAGATTGCGGCAGCAGGAGGAAGATGCTCATTCTTCCTTTGATGATATACGGGGTAGATAAGAATCTTCATCTTGTATTTTCTGTCATAGTTCTTTTAATAGAGATAAGATAGCCTTTTACATATTTATCCAGGATATTATTTAGATCAGGGCTCTCAGTAACTATAAAGTAATTTTATAAGCATGTCTAGAACAATAGATGAGATGGATTATATTTTGTCTTTAATTGGAAATGAGAGTAGGCCTAGACTAGTTCATTTTGAAAAAATGGTTGAAAGTGCAAGCTTGAAGTTCCATCATTTGCTTTATTGGTTTGAAATGATAGTTGTGTTTTTGTTTTGTTTTATTCTTATATTGGTAGCGAAGATGATTGTGTTCTATTTATTCCTTTAGTTTAGCTTTCTTGAGAAAGAATAATTTTGTACTTTTGTTAAAGAGGATGTGAAATTGCTATTATTTAGTTGAGAATGTGATTAACTCTCCTAATTTTCTGTTACTTCTCTTTAAAGGTAGTGGAATAGTAGGTGGTAATACCAGCACACAGAATAGCAAAGAATCTCCCGAGAAGCAGAATAAAGAAAAGGAAACTCCAAAGGAACAGAGTAAAGGGGAGACAGCAGATAATTCAACAGAGGACATGGAAACAGAAACAGCCACAGATGCAGAGGGAGACAAGGAAGATGGGAAAGTAGATAACACACCCAAAAATGGAAGTACGCAAAACATTGATAATCAGGAAAATAAGGAAAAGGAAAGTGAGAGTGGGGATCCACCTGCGGCAGAGGAAAAGAGTGAGGAGAAAGAATTGCATAATGCAGATGATCTTCTTGATATGCTCGATGATGAATAAGAAAAATGGTGTAATATAGCAGAGAAAATTAGTCTTGCTTTTTATCATTTTAGATGGAATGGAGAAGATGCTAGCAATTTTTTATGTGAATTTTACACTGGATTTTTGTAAGCAAAATATAATTTGTTTAACTGCATTATCAACTTTTAATATTCCTTTGATATGACTCAATGATAATAAAATACTATAATTATCATGGGATATGCTAATGTTATATGGCATGTTTACAGCTGATTTGACAGATAAACTATTGATTATATTATCTATTTGGGGATTTTGTGCAATTTTTAGCAAGATTCCTACTAGTGACCTAAGGCCCGTTCACTCTGTAATGAAAACATTAGCTTATTTTTGCTCCTTATTTCAAATGAAATTTATCACTGATGACAATAATAAGCATTCTAAGTATGTTGTCATGGGGAGGCTTAGGAGAGAGAGACTGAACCCCAATGGTGGGGATCACCTCTATCTTGGGCCTCAGCCTTCCACTCAATAATTCTTCCTCTTTCCTCTTCTCCAATCCCTTCTACTATACACTTCTTAAGGTGTGAGATCAGTGGGGACCCTGAAGGGTGGACTGTTTGCTCAACATACTCCAGGCTTAC